TGGTTTTTTGTATCGACGATGTAAACGAAGGGCCAGTTGCATTTTTCCTTTTAAAATCAAAGTGTGAAGACATTTTTAAAGGGCGAAAAAGCAGGTGTTTTACCTCTGGGAAACATAATTGGGAGAAAATGAATGAAGGATCTATTTCACTTTGCGTTATATATATATATTATTTGGGTTGCATTGGGAAAAAACAAAGAATGTTGAAGAGTGGACACTTGCCAGGGAAGAAGTGAATAATAATCTTATAACGAAAATATTTTCTTTTGGTTCATAGAAAAAACCGAATAAAAAGGTCTTTTTTATTAGAGCAAGGGAAATGCTAAGGGGTTATGCAGCGGGGGATGTTCTCGAGAAGGTTTTGCATTCAAAGAGTTATCTTTTTGTGTGTGTGTCATCTGACGCAATTCTTTTGAGAAAACAAGCCAATTTGCTGTGTTGTAGGAATAGGAAAGGTGTAATTATTAGTTTGGGTGCTGGAGCCGTTATATTGTCAACAGATAATAACGATTTTGACAATGTTGAGGTTGATGATGATATGAACGATGAAGAAATTTAGTTTAAACCAGAGGAAAAACAATGGCATTAAGAAAACCGAAGAATGGATGGCATAGTGAGGTGTTGGAAAGAAATAAAAGGTGCTTTTTTTGTTGTTGTTAGTTTTTTGCTTGTTCATTTGTTGCTTTTTTGATATTTTATGTACAATAGAGATGTAAATGATTTTTATGAAATTTGGGAGATATTCTGTTTTTAATTAGTATTATGCTTGTGGGGCAATTGATGCTCTTGTTACTTTACTATTATTATTATTATTATGTTTGTCTATATAATTTTTTAAAATTTGTTTTTGTATTTTTCCAAGGCTTTTCCATAGTGGTTTAATAGCCACACATGCCTCCCAAGAGACCAGTTCTTGAAAATCTACGGATAGATCCTCCAGAGAAAACGGTATCGATTACAGACACATTGACCTTAGTTGTAAAGGGTGATGGGGGTCTTGAAATGCGTGTGAAAGAAAGTTTTATAGCTTCTGGTCCAGCGTTTCCGGCGCAGGCCGCAAAACAAAAGGATGACAAAAATGATGTGAGTATGGAAAAGATAAGGTTTGAGGATCTGCGTACGTGCCAGGAGTTGGGAAAGGGGTCTCAGGGAAGGGTCAGACTTGCTCGACATCTTCCTACCGGAAAAAGGTATGCAGTGAAATATATTAGGTTGGAAGAGGACACAGATGGTATGCGTCAAGCCCTTGAGTCGGAATTGCGGCAAGTGAAAGCTTTGATGCACAAAAATCTTGTAACTTCGCATGAAGCGTTCTTCAGGGATGGAAGAGTTTATATTGTGCTGGAATATATGGACGCTGGGAGCATTGCCGATGTGCTCAGGCGTCATCCTAATAATTTCAACGAAGTGATGTTAGCATACGTGGCGAGGGAGTTGCTTCAGGGATTGGAACACCTTCACGCTTCAAAAGTAATTCATCGTGACATAAAACCTGTAAATGCTCTTGCAAATTCGAAAGGCGAAGTTAAAATAGCGGATTTTGGTGTCGCAAAAAGGTTTTCTGGTGGAGATGTAGAAACACTGTCCGCTCAAGGATCGCTCATATATATGAGTCCCGAGCGAATTCAAGGTCAACCGTACTCCTTCAACAGTGATATATGGAGCGTAGGGTTGACAATAGCAGAATGCGCGTTGGGGACATATCCTTTTGCGTCGATGAAGCATAGCCTATATGATCTTATGCAAGCTATTGCTACGAGAACCGCAAGGGTTGATTGGACAGCTGATGGCCGTGAGCACAGCTCTGAGCTTATTGATTTTGTCGATCAATGCCTCCGTCCTGTTAGCTCACGACCGACAGCTACTGAGTTGCTCCATCATCCGTTCATTCAAAAGGCAGCGAATGTGGATCCTGCCGAGGCAGGAAGGTGGTTCGTTACTCAATCCTAACTTTAATACTTGGTGGGAATTTGTGAAAAACTTCCTTCTCCAACTCTTTTTGTCTCTCTTTATCTCCTTGGTACCAGTGTTGCCGCGTGCTGTTGTTGAATTCACTGTTCCGTAGTTTGGCGACTTTATTTATTTATTTTTTTTTTTTTTTTTTTTTTTTTTTTTTTGCATTGTTTGTTTCTTTGTTTGGCTCTCCTTGTTTTTGTCTTTTCTGAAGTTGACTGAATCACCTTTTTTTTTGCCAACGAAAAAGTGATGCCACCAAAAGAAAACAAAAAAAATTCCAAGTCAGACAAGGATCTTCAGGATGATGAACAACAGTTAAATGAAGATATTGTAAAAATGGGCATACGCTTGTCTGCCCTAAAGGCAGAATATGCCGGACACCTTGAGGAGATATCCGGTTTGAGACGAGAGAAAAAAGAGCTGGAGTTTGGTTGTGCAAAATTTGAAGATGACCTTCGTCTTGCTACATTGAATAGAGTAGATGTGCTAACCGATTTTGTGCGTCAATACAAAACAGAGGAAGATGAAAAAATACGCACCTGTACAGACCTGGATGAAACCTTAAACCGTCTCGAGGAGGAAAAAATTAGGCTTACTGAAAAGGCCAAAAAGGCAGAAACAGAACACGAAGACGCTATCAATGCAATGAAAACAGAGTATGATTCTTTATTGGCTCGTATAGATGAAATGGAAAGGGAATTCAGCGTTCTCATGGAGGATACTCGATCTAGGATGCCCTATAGCCAGTCAGCACCTATTTAGCTCCTTTAATAAAAAGAAGTGAGGCTTTAAATCATTTGCTTTACCTTTTTTTTTTTTTTTTTTTTTTTTTTTTTTTTTTTCTTTTTTTTTTTTTTTTTTTTCTGTCTGTGATTAAACCGCATTTCTCGAAGCATTTTCCTTTCGAATGATATATTTGGGCATTCGTTTGTTTGTTTGTTTGTTTTTGCTTAGTTTGTCCGTGTGAGCCTAAATAAGTATATATTCAGGCATATGCATACTAACCTTGAAGAAAATGCAAACACTGTTTGGCTGCCCGTCCATTTTGATACACACGGAGTCGCGTCTTATGAGGCCGAAGGCCATGGGGCGGGCGGCCTTGACTGCGTTGGGGAAATGCAAATGGACTGGGAAATGGGCAATTCCCTTCATTTTTGTGGAAAAGATGCCGAGTTATCTCCTGTCAACTTCCCTTTTTTAAGTCACCATCACAAAAGTTCAAGGGTGACTGATTGGGAGAAACTTTTTCAGATTGAAAGCGAGTTGCAATACCTTGGTGAGGAAGTGGGTTTTTTCCTTCAAAAATTAGGTCGCTCTTCGGTGGGTGAGGATTCTTTGGATTCCGTGGATGATACTGTTGAACTGGGGGAGGCTCTACAGATGGTGGAGAGTCGGCTAAATAGTATTTTTGCGGGGTGCGATGACTCGGGTATGAGTCAACGATTCCTTAGCAAGGACGCGCTTCACAAAGCAACGGACTGTAGCCGCGCCTTGATGGCCTACCGTGGGGTGGCAGAAGCTGCTGAATCAATGAAGAAATTACTCACCGGTGTCTTTAACTGTAGAGTTTTTTTGCCTTTTGGAGCAGATGCAATGAAGCGGGCTGGGGAAGTCTCATTGCTCCTGGATGACATGGAAAAAGTCCTTGACTCTCTGGAGGCCAGAGTGGAAACACTGAGGGAATTATCAGAGACAAGACTAGACGTTTTGAAGAGAGGTTTGGATGATCTTTCAAAATGACCTTTTTTTGATGTGTGTGTGCGTGTGTGGATTTGTTTCTTGGCTCTTCATTCTTCTCAGATAACTTCTCCTTCTTTCTGTTGTGATCATTTTTCATGGTCCGAACTGGTTTCACAGGGGATCTTCTTTTGTTACTTTTCCTTTGTCTTTTTCTTGGCGTTTTTTTTTTTTTTTTTTTTTTTTGAAGCTTTGTTTTTTGTTTGTTTGCTTTTGTTTTCTGTGCGTGTGGGCAGAGGGAGTTGTTGTTGTTGTGTTACTTTTTTTTTTGACAGTAAGACCAAATGTTGGAGGAAGACAAGGAGGCAATCCGTAGGATGAAAGCCGATTTTGAGGCCATTGCAGAATTAACGGAAAGTGAGTTTAAGTTAAATACGGGGTTTGCAAGACGCATGAATCACTACAGCGCCGTCTACACGGCTGCAACACGCACCACGAATATGCGATCTTTTTCGGACGCCTTTGGTTATTACGTGGATGAACTTCTCTACACAGACTTTCAAGAGATGCTGACACGATATCTGTTGAAGTACCGTGATTTGCAAGACTCTTCACAGATGCGGCTTTTTGTAAAAATTTTGAAGCTGTGGAATCACTACAAAGTGCTGATGAAGTGGAACATGAGGGCCTTTGCGTACCTTTCGAGATTTTATATTGTCAACTGTTCAAAACCTTCCCTGCAGCAGGTTGCTCTAAACATATTTCTCGAGCAAATATTAAAAAAGAATGTGCACGTTATTAGTCGAGTAACACAAGATCTTCTTTGTTTGGAAAGAAACGGTGAAAGCGTGAATCGTGATCAAATTCGAGGCGCCATTGAGTTAATGTCTTCCGTCAGTGTTGAGAAGAAGGATGAAATATACACAGAACAGTTTCTGAGGCCTTACATGGCCTTGACGAAGAGCCATTACGAGGGGCTTGTTACTGAATGGAGCAAGTCATTTGCCCCTTCCGAATTACTGCGACAAATAGAACAGGCCCATAATGAAGAAAAGGCTCGATGCATGTGTTACTTTTCACCAGATGACCGGAAAATAATCATGACACACGTCGAGGAAGTGCTGCTGGAGTCTCCAGCAACGGTGGAAAAGCTTCTAAAGTCTGATGATGGTTTTGTTGCTGCGTTAAGGGGCCGCGATGAAGCTCTCCTGGAAAAGTACTACAATTTGCTGTCATGTCGGACCAAATGTCTTGCGTACTTGTCAAATTTAATGCGAGATGAAATTATTGCGGAGGGAAAAGAGCGATTGCTGCAGCATGATTCCCAGAAGAAAGAGATGGACTTTCGATCTTGTGTTGGGGATATGCTTCAGTTACAGGACGACTTTATGCAACTTCTTGCCCGTTGCTTTAATAGCAATGCCATTATGATGAAGTCCATGAGGGAGGGTCTTGAAAAGGTCTTCGGTGGCAGTGTTCATGCGTCAAGGGGACCGCAGCGGTCTGTACCATTTAGTGAATTGCTGGCGTACTACGTCGATGCCGTTCTTCAGGGAAACGAGGGCTCCACGGTTGAAGAAAATTTAGAGAAGGCCGTTGCGGCTCTTGCTTACGTGACGGATCGAGACACTTTCTTGGCGCATTCACGTGAACTGTTGGCTCAAAGAATTCTTTTCCCGCGTAAAAAAATGGATGAAGCTACAGAACGATCTCTTATTCAACGTATTAGTCAGCGCTGCGGTGTATCAAGTACGAGCTATCTCGAAGGAATGCTTCACGATGTTGATATTGCCGAGGGGTTTGGGGTCACCGAGAAGCTTGAGGCTGTCGGCAAGGCTCCAAATTTTGCATTTAGTGTCCTTGTTTTGAAAAAAGGGATTTGGCCTCCACGGATTCAGGGTGAGTGCTTTGTGCCACCCCGCGTGATCCAAGAGAAGTTGAGTGCATTCCAGAAAATTTATCTCGAGGGGACAACTGGGCGCGTCCTCACCTGGTCTTACTCTAACAGTAGTGGAGATGTCTGTGCGGTGTTTAAGAAGGGTGTCAAAATTCTCTCCATGACCGGCATACAGTGCTGGGTCGTGTTAGCATTTAATGAATTGAATGAGTTGACCCCAAATGATATGATGAGCCTCTTTGGCATGTCTTTGGAGGATGCAAAGCCCGCTTTGCTCCCTCTTTTGAAGTGCTCAATCCTCCGTGGGGAGTCCGACGCTACCACAATTCAGCCGCAAGCGAAATTTTTTATTAATGAGGACTTCTCAAGCAAATGGAAAAAAGTGCGGGTGCCCATGCCAACTTGTCGGCGTGATGGCCTCCTCCATGGCGAGGAGATAGCGAAGAAAATTGAAGAAGATAGGAGACCCGCGATCGACGCTTGTTTGGTCCGAATTATGAAGAGTCGTCGTGTCTTGAGTCATTCAAGTCTTGTGGAAGAATGTCATCAAAAGCTCTCACAACTGTTTTCGGCCGATCAAAAGTTGATCAAGCAACGAATCGAAGAGCTTATAAGAAAAGAATACATTGAACGCGATCATAAAAATCCCTCAGTGTACCAATATACAGCATGATCATGTATAAATATTTTGCTTTATTTAAAAGAAAATGGAAAAAGGAGGGGAAAAGAAAAGAGGAAATGCACATTTTTTTTTATATATATATATATATATAATAATAATAATAATAATATTTGTCTGTTCGCTTTTTTTCTTCTTCTTCTTCCCTCTTTTTAAATGGGGATTTTGCACACCGACGCATTCATACCTTGCAATGTGTAATCATGTGCATACATGTATGTGAAATTATCCAAGCAAAAATAAGTAGATGTTTTGCTCTTGTTGTTGTTTTTGCAGATTAAATGAGGCTTTTTATAGAGGATGTGCTGGTGTTGTTTCCCTACGAGTATATATACCCGGAGCAGCTTGAGTACATGACAGAACTCAAGAAGGGCTTAGATCAAGGCGGGCACATAGTCCTTGAAATGCCATCAGGAACGGGAAAAACAACGACGCTGCTATCATTACTTATAGCATATATTCACTATCACGCGGATGAGAAGCGAAAAGTCATTTATTGTACTCGAACCGTTGAAGAAATGACAAAGACGATGGGTGAACTTCGCAAGTTGCTTGAACTTTGGAACACTGATGAATTGGGGTCGAATAGACCGCTACGAGGACTTTGCTTAACGGCAAAAAAAAATCTCTGCATTGAAAGCACTGTAGCCTCACAACGTTACCCGGAAGATGTAGATGCGGGATGTCGTAGTCTTACAGCGCCCTGGCAAACAAGCAACAGATGTGCCTACTTTGACAACCTGGAGCGTATTCCCTTTGAATTGCCTCCTGGGGCGTATTCCGTGGAAGATTTAAAACAGTTTGGCGAAGCCCATCAACTATGTCCGTATTACTTGGTGCGAAAGGCATTGAGGGTCGTTGATATAGTGGTTCACTCTTTTCTTTACATTGTGGATCCTATTGTGGCTGAGGTAACCAAAGGGTACTTCAATGAGAATGCAATTGTCGTCATGGATGAGGGGCACAATGTGGATGATGTTTGTATTGAGGCCATGTCCCTTATCATCACAAAGGAGGATGCAGCGCAAGCGAAGGAGAATGTGAAACTACTGAATGCAGCTGCGGATCATCTTAAAGCGACGAATCGACAACAATTGCAGGATGAATATGACCGTCTCGTGAATGGTCTGGCGATGGTCGAAATGGCTCGCTCTGTGGACAGTATGATGATGCCTGTTCAAGCACCTAGTATCCCATCCGAAATTGCTGAGGAAGCCATTCCAGGGAGTTTGCGACAGGCCAACCACTTCTTGTCGTTCATTCAACGTCTCGTGGATTTTACGCATCGTGTAGTCTGTAGAATTTCTCGCACTTACGTGGCGGATCCCTTAACATTCCTATCGAAAGTACGCGATGAATGTGCTGTGGATATTCGTCATTTCAGGTACCTGACGGAGCGTCTGAAAGTGTTAATGAATACGCTTCAGATTACAAATTCACACAAATTCCGTAACGTTTCCTTGATTGCACAAATGTACATGACTCTCTCCACTCATTATACAGACGATCGGTATGAAAAACCGGGATTTGTGGTTGTTTGTGAGGCTCACGATCCGACGAGACCTGCTGTGCCAGATCCAGTGATTCGTCTTGTTTGCGTAGATGCCTCGTTGGCCCTACGTGAGGCTTTTTCAAAGTATCGAAGCGTGGTGTTGACTTCGGGGACACTTTCTCCGTTAGACATTTACCCGAAGATTCTTGGCTTTACCCCTGTAATTGCTAAATCCTTTCAAATGACCTTAAGTCGAAAGTGTATAGCCCCGGTGGTAGTGACGCGTAGTACGGAGAGTGTCAACATTACGATGGAAGAAATTACCAGTAGTTTTGTTGTTCGTACTAATCCCCTTGCCCAAGATATCGTCTCCTCCGCCTATGAAGATCTCTTACGGGGTTTAGGCAAAACCGTGCCCGATGGTATTGTCTGCTTCTTTACAGGGTATCAGTATATGGGGGAGGTGCTTCTTGGATGGCATCGGTCTGGATTTTTGAAGGAGTTGGCGCAGTATAAACTTATCTTTATTGAAACCCAATCGGTGGAGGAGACATCCATTGCATTGGCAAACTATAGGCGAGCATGTGACATTGGCCGTGGGGCTATTTTCATGGCTATTGCTCGAGGTAAAATTGCCGAAGGAATTGATTTTGATCGTCACTATGGAAGAGCCGTCGTCATGTTTGGGGTTCCTTTTTTGCCACCAAACGATGAACCTTTGAGACAACGAATTTATTGGATGGAAACATGTCTTGGTATTCCTGGAAATGAGTATCGGAACTTTGATGCCATGAGGCAGGCGTCACAATGTATTGGTCGGGTGTTACGAAACAAAACGGACTATGGAATGATGTTGCTCGTTGATCGACGTTTTGCATTGAACGACAAACGGAAAAAGCTACCTATATGGATTCAGCAATGTCTAAAGGAGAACACAAATCTTAGTGTGGATGCAGCGATCGCCGTTGCGCGCGGATTTTTTAAGGAAATGGCGCAGCCCTGGGAACACAAACGAGATCTGGGAACTACTCTCTTTTCCAAGGAAACCCTCGCACTTAAAGGATTTCTAAAACCCTCGAAAAGATCCGTCCCTTGCAGAGTGACAGAGAAATGCAGCAATTCCGCTGAGGAATTGGTCCACGGAGAGGGGGATGTCATACGTGCGGTAAAGGAGCCAGAGCATAGGAAACGACTTCGGGGATAATAATAATTTATTTTTTGTTTTTAATACTCAATAAATGTTATTTAAATATTTAAATACTAAAAAAAAAAAAAAAAAAACAAGAGGAAATGGGCTGCTAAATGGAATGCTTTCTTATTCTTTTGTGTCTATGAATGGGTAAGATTTTTGAAATGGAGGTGCTTCAAGAAGGGCTTTTTTCATGGACTGCCGTTTACATGGCTGTGACATTCCCTGCCTTTTTTATGGGTCTAAATTTTATTTTTGGAGATTGCTTCCTAAACGAGGTTTTTGCCCACAACCAATACGCTGGCAGTGGCACTGGAAAGGGATACCATTGGCGTCTTGAAAGAATGCTCATTCTCTTTGTTTTTGGATTGTTTGTTTGGCAATACTACACCTATATGTTTCAGGCTCGGAAGGACTACGTGGAATTTTGCAACCCTCCTGTTTATCTCTGTCACTACTTTGTTTGGTTAGTATGGAGAAAAGGGAGCTTCCCATGTGGTTTGCTTGGGGATTGCTCGCTGGATGATATCTGCTTCCTTGTCCTATGGTCACTCCACGTAATTCTTTACTTCTATTCTGTGACGAGTGTTCCTCAGGTGGGGAAAAAGACCTCCAATAGTTCATTTTGCCGAAAGTGTAGGGCGTACGTGGAAGGCATGGATCATCACTGCTTCATTATTGGCAACTGCGTTGGATCAAAAAACAGGAGGTTATTCTTATGCTTACTAGCCGTCTGTGCTCTGAATATGTTTTTTTTGCTTCTCATGCGCGGTGCTTGGGCATACGCGGTGGGTGGTGTTTTTATATTATTAGGATTGTTATTGGTGATATGCGTTACTGTGGTAAGCTCATGCTTGCTTCTTTTTCAGTTTTGTCTTCTGCGGAAGGATAAAACCACGCTTTTGTTTTTTAAAGAAGAAAGGCAATTGCATCAAGGCTTCTGGAGAACTCTTGTTGATTTGATACGGTAGTTGAGTCCTGTTATTTATTTGTTTTTGCTGTTGTTATTTGTTTGTTTCTCCGTTTTCTGTGCCTTGGGCAGCATGGGGGGAAAAGACATCGATTTGTTTGTAGTCTCTCCCTCTCTCTCTCTCTCTCTTTCCCCGCTGTGTATATGTGCGCACTGTTTGTTTGTATTATTATTTTTTTCTTTACTAGTTGTGATTGCTGCCGCAGAAGTGATGGAAAGAAAAACATAGCTTACAAAATGGGTTGAACTTGATGCTGCTTTCTTATGAATTCTTTTTTTTTTTTTTTTTTTTTTTTGCGTTATTATTGCCGTTTTTGGTGGAAGGGTCAAATGCCGGTGCGGAAGAGGCAGCGTCGGGACACTGTTGTCACAGAGGCAGGGGCGGTTGATGAGATTGAAGAGAAAGATAAGAATGTCATGGTCCGCCTTGTGGATGAAAAAGGCGTTTTGACGGGGGCGCAGCTTCTTCTGCCCGTAACAGCGACTCCGAAGCAACTGGACGAGCTTTTATGCTCTATGCTGGATGAGAGTGCACGCGGAACTCCGTACGCTTTTTTTATCGACGGGGATCAGGTGCATGACAGTGTGCGCGACTCGCTTTTTAGGAGGCAGCAGGAGGCCTTTGTTGATAAAATGATGAAGGAAGGAAGGCGCTTCAGGCAACAAGACGTGAGTAAACTGGAGTTTGAGCTTCCAGAGGAGACTGTTGTGGATATCCAATTTAAACCGCAGGCAAAATTTAGGGTGAGACCAGTGACACGTTGCACTGGAGCACTTGAAGGGCACAGCGAGGCTGTGCTTGTGGTTACTTTTTCACCGGACGGCGAGGCACTAGCAAGTGGAGGAGGCGATAAGGAGATACGAATCTGGGATGTTTATACATTAACCCCCACGGAAGAACTTAAGGCGCACACCAGTTGGGTGCAGGTGTTGTCGTGGGCCCCGGATGGGAAGCATCTCGTAAGCGGAAGCAAAGATGGCACTATTATTGTTTGGTCGCATGATGGCATGTACGGTAACTTTAAAGGGAAGCGACACAAGGCCCATTCAAGTTATTTATCGCACATTTCATGGGAGCCGTTGCACAGAAACATTGATTGCAATCGGTTTGTTTCGGCTAGTAAAGACACAACCCTAAAGGTTTGGCATAATGTGACCGGGGTTCAATTTTCTCTCTCTGGGCATCAGGCTTGTGTCACCTGCGTGAAGTGGGGTGGTGAGGGTTTTATCTATTCATCCTCTCAGGATCGCACTGTCATTGTGTGGGATGCCTCAAATGGAACCCCGCGCCATATTCTTCGGGGCCATGCTCACTGGGTAAACTTTGTCGCACTCAGTACAGACCTTGTGATTCGGACAGGTGCATTTGATCACGAAGAAAAGAAGTTTGATTCTCGTGAGGAGATGCAAAAATATGCGGAACGGAGATATCAGGAGGTGGTGACGCGTTTTGGCTATCATGAGCGTCTCATAAGCTGTTCAGACGACAACACCATGTTCTTGTGGGCACCGCAAGAGCAGACTACTCCATTGGGGCGATTAACGGGTCACCAGGGAGCCGTGTTTCACATCCAGTTTAGCCCCGATGGAACTCTGATCGCTTCATGCTCCGCTGATAAGAGCGTCAAGTTGTGGAACGCCGCGGATGGAAAGTTTATTACGACGTTTAGGGGGCATGTGGCTCCCGTGTATCACGTGAGCTGGAGCCTCGACTCCCGTCTTTTGGTCTCTGGTGGCCGCGATTCCACCCTAAAACTTTGGTCCGTCTCAAAACGGGAGTTGGTGGAGGATCTTGCGGGCCACTGCGATGAGATTTTCTCAACCGACTGGAGCCCCGATGGGCAGCGGGTTGCAACGGGCTCAAAGGACAAAAAAGTTCTCATTTGGGTTCATTAAATGCGAGTAGGCCATACAAATCCACATGTAACCCTATCCGTCGGTCTGCGTGTGCGTGTGTGTGTGCGTCTGTCTGCCACTGAAAATAAATCTTAAAATAAATGAAAATATGAGAGAGAAGTGGGAGGACCGCCCTTGTCTTGCTGCAATAAACATATTTACTTTTGGTTACCCCTCTTTCCTTCTCCTTTTCTCTCTCTCTCTCTCTTTTCATTTCTTTTTTTTTTTTTTTTACTTTTTTCTCTTTCTTCTTTGGTTGGTTTTCTCCCCTTCTACGCACCTGTCTCCGTGTGTGTTTCTTGTCGAAATGCGGAATAGAACACGAAGTGAGCACCACGGACATGACGAGTTTAAACAAAAGCGAGACGCAGAATATCTCTGCCGCCGAAGAAAAGGTTCCAAGTAATCTTCCGCAATGGACGAAAGGCAACTATGAAATTAACTGGGTGGCCGTCGCCGTTTTGGCTCTACCTCCCACGATGGTTTTTGCGGCCATTTTGGCGGGTATTCCCCTGCTTCCAAAGACTCTTGCGGTAGCAGCATTTTTCTATGTGTTCAACGGCATGATTGGTATTACACTTGGTTACCACCGCCTTTTTTCGCATCGAAGCTTTGTTGCGCACCCGATACTTCAGTGGATTTGCGTATTTGCTGGTGCGGGTGCTTTTGAAGGCTCTGCCAAGTGGTGGGGCCGCAATCACCGCATCCACCATCGCTACGTGGACACCCCTAAAGATCCATACGATGCCACTCGTGGGTTTTTTTTTTCCCATATGGGCTGGATGGTCATGAAGCAAAATTATGGCCTCCTTGGGAAAGTTGACGTGTCGGATTTTAAGTACAACATCATAATTCAGTTTCAGCATCGCTACTTCTTCAGAATTGCTATGCTGTCCGGTATTATTCTCCCAACGCTGATTTGCGGCCTTGGTTGGGGCGATTGGCTCGGTGGGTATTTCTATGCAGGACTCGCGAAGGTGGTGTTTGTGCACCATTGTACCTTTTTCATCAACAGCCTGGCCCACACGAGCCTTTTTGGTGCGGTGAAGAATTACTCGGACCGTAACACCTCTCGTGACTCCATGGTCTGTGCCACTCTTGACGTT